TATACCTATAGGTGAAGTAATAAATAATAATAATAAATGGTGTAGCGCCATATAACCAAATAAACAGAAATAAATCCGGAATATGAATTATATATATATATATATATATATATATATATATATATATATATATATATATGGTAGATCCTCCAGGAATCTGGAAAATAAGTGTCTCAAAATAGTGGTACAAATAGTGGTATAAAGTGCATATAATCAACAGGTCCCAATCCAGTGCCTTCATACAGTGCACTTTAAAGGCATAAATACTTCACAGGGACATAATTAAAAATCAATTTGTAAATGCATTGAAAACCAACTACAGTATTCCGTTCTGTAGGTCAGAAAAAAGTAAAAAAAAATTGTATCTGTTCAAAACTCTTCATGAAGTACACTTTAAATACTGTACAGGGACATGATTAAAAAAAATGGTAAATGCATTGAAAACCAATTAGTCTGTTCCAGAGGTCAGAAAAAAGTAAAAAATGGTCATCACATAGCGTTGTTAGAAAGCTACGTTTTTTTGTTTTTTTTCACGAAAATGATGCCTAAGCAGTCTATAATTTGAGGCAATATCATAAAAAAAAATTCTGTGAGGGGGAACCTGTAATTTTGCAATGAAATCACATCACGTATGCCCGAGGCTGATTCAATAAAACCAGAGAAAAGAAATAAATTCAAAATTAGAGTGAAAGCTGTGAAAATATGGAATAGACTCCCTCAAGAGTTGGTTCTGGCCAGCTCAGTGGATTGCTTTAAAAAAAAGTCCTGGATTGTTTCTTGGATACACAGAATATAACTGGATATAACATTTATAGGTAAAGTTGATCCAGGGAATATCTGATTGCCTCTCGGGGGATCAGGAAGGAATTTTTTTCCCTGCAGGAGCAAATTGGATCATGCTTTGCTGGATTTTTTCGCCTTCCTCTGGATCAACTGTGGGTGTAGGATTACAACTTTTTTTTTTATGGTTAACCTCCCTAGCGGTCTGATTATTTCAGATTTTTGGTGCTGAAAGCGGTACCATTATTTTGCATGGAAATATGTATTTTTTTAATTGTAGGCTGTAATTTTTAGGAATAGCTCGCTGAAATCTGGCCAAACAAGAGTCTAGTAAATATCCCGGATATGATAAAACTTGAAACATGAAATCATAAATTATAATATAATAAATAATCATAAAAAAAATAATAATATAATAATAATAAATTTAATTCAATAATATAATCAAACCAAAAACACTGAAAATTTGAAATATAGCGCCAAGTTCGCACATCGCTGAGCAAAGTCACAGAATTGTTTTCAGTGTCTGATGAGGAATTTCCCCCACGAATCATTATCACTCAATTCTGCAAGTGGTTCTGATTTACTATCGCTGTTCTCTAGCCGGTCTAAAACTGCTTTTGACCTAAAGGGACGCTTTTTGGACGCCATGGACTTTTCTACGTTTCCAGACATAAAGAACAGACAAAATGCAGGCAGAGCACAGGACAAAGCAGTAGGGACAAAATGTATGTGTAATGTTTTACTATGTAATATTTTACTATGTAATATTCGTTTACAAAAAAAGACATTTTTTTAAATTTTTAAATTTTCCACCGGTTCCGCCCAACGTCACAGGGACCGGAAACGGAAGCTGGATGCCGGCATCGGCCGGAGGAGATGGCCGGGGACGCTGCAGGGGGTACATCGCGGGAGCAAAGGACAAGGTAAGCCCTGCAGGGACTCCCTGAGCAACGCCGCATGGTAAGCCCGAGTGTAGCTCGGGGTTACCGCTTGTGGTGCTGAAACTCTACCCCGAGCTACACTCGGGAATACCGCCAGGGAGGTTAAACTGGATGGACTTTTGTCTTTTTTCAGCCAGACTAAAAATTTAACTATGTAAAGTTGTACCCAAAGGCAACCTCCTAATGTTTTTGTATAATGAAAAGAAACCAGATCCCATTTGGTGCTCATTTCCTTGTCTTCAGTTTTGATTCATCATCACCATTAGATCAAATGAATCATTAGTTCGTTTGTGGCAAGTTGTCTACCAAAGGAAGAAATCATAGGGAATGTTATTAATGAAATTAGAGGAATGTGAGGAGTGTGGAGTTTGGGTTTGGTCCGTATGAGCCATTACTGGTATTTCTATTTTTTAAAGCATTACATTGAATTCAGATACTGCATGTAAAATTAATTTTTTTAAAAAAAAAGGCTTTTGTGTAATTAATTACATTCTTTTGATTTATACAATTGTAAGTTACATAGTTAGTTTGGCTGAAAAAAGACAAAAGTCCATCCAGTTCAACCATTAAAAAATAAAAGTTATAATCCTATACCCACAGTTGATCCAGAGGAAGGAAAAACCCAGCAAAGCATGAACCAATTTTATCCTGCAGGGAAAAAAAAAATTATTTCCTGATCCCCCGAGAGGCAATCGGATATTCCCTGGATCAACTTTACCTATAAATGTGCACATGTACATAAAGGGGCAGACGGGAGCAGTGCAGGAGCAGGTTGCCATTCAAAAACGGCGCCCAAATTTACAGCCTGTGCGTGCTCCCTGGAAGTGCGCAGCACCGCAATCCTGTGCTGAACGCTGTACGGGACCTCTGTGTGAGGTCCCAATCATGTGATCACTGATTGGCCAATCAGTGATCACATGAAACGTTGTAAGCAAGATGTCACTTCCTGACATCATTGCTTACTACTACTAGTGAAATCTGTGAATGACCACTGAGGTCACATGGTACAAGGCTATTCACAACAGCCGTGTACCATGTGACAAGCTGTGACCAATCACAGCACTCACAGTATTTCTCAGTGGCTGCAAGAATGCAGCCAGAGAGAAGGAGAAATGATTGCTTTTACAGCCTTTATGGGTGTAAAAGCAATCAGTGTAAAAAAAAAATCTTCATCACCCCCCAGAAGTAGTAGTGTCACTATGGTGACACTGTACTGCTAGGGTGACAGCATGTTGAAAAAAAACCAAACATAAATATTAATATAAAAAAAAATAAAAAAAAATGTAAAAAAATTAGAAAAATTATAACTTTTGGTTATAAACTAATTTGGGTTATTTTTTTTTTTACTAAAAAGATAACTGAATACATTTTGGCCAATATTTATGAGGACAGATTATTTATTTGCTAAATTTTATAAGAAAAATTTTTCAAAATTTTTGGACTTTTTCATTTATATAGCAAAAAAATACAAATCCCAGCGGTGAATAAATACCACCAAAATAAAGTTTTATCTGTCTCAAAAAAATGCTAAAAAAATTCCTATGGGTACAGTGTTGCATGACCGCTCAAATGTCATTCAAAGTGTGATAGCACTGAAAGATGAAAATTGGGCCTGAACAGGAAGGGGGTGAAAGTGTCCAGACCTGAAGTGATTAAAGCAATCCACTGAGCTGGCCAGAACCAACTTTTGAGGGAGTCTATTCCACATTTTCACAGCTCTCACTGTGAAGAAACCTTTCCATGTTTGGAGATTAAATTTCTTTTCCTCCAGACGTAAAGAGTATTTAACAAAGATGGGAAAAGGGAAACTTACTTTACACCATCCCATGAAATACCTGTTTTTATCTTTCTACCTGTCCAAAAAAGGAGCCTGTAGAAATTCAATGCAGATTTTGAAGAGCTCATTTCAGACTTCAGACAGTCCAGAACTAACACGTCAAAAAATGTCAATAGGAGCACACATTCTCTTCATCATCGCCTTTGTGATCCCTATGATCCCTGATCTCAGTGTTTTTATGTATACGAAAAATGCACAACAGAGATTAATCAACACACAAACAGACTGAGATTAATTAACACACCAAAAGCAGACATTATTCTTGTTATCAAGGGGATGTTTAATGACTGCCATCAATTATTGTGCCATTGCAGAAAATAAAATAAGGAAAAGATGATTGTTAGCCACTGACCTCATATTCAGGTATTTGTCGAAGTTCTAAAGGCACAATGTTTTTTACTTTAATGCATTCTTTGCAGTAGGGTAAAAAAAACCTCCTGGGTGCATCCCCCCCACCCCCCTTATATTTACCCACCTTGATCTAGCCTCTCCTGGGTCTCTCTCTACCCTTTGGCTAACACATAGCCATAGCCTCCTGCTGCTGTCAATTACAACCAGTGAGCCAATGAGGAGAGAGAGTGGGGGTGGGGCCAAGGCATGCTCACTGTGTGAAGAGACAATGCTCAAGAGCGAGCCTGCTTGAGTGCCCCCAGAGTCTTTGGGGCACTCAGCAAGGGGGAGGGGCGGGACCCAAAAAGAAGAGGATCGGAGCTGCTCTGTGTAGACAGGTAAGTATATCAATTTGTTTTGTTTTTTTATTGCAACCTTTAATATACTTACCTGCCCTAAAGGGATTTTAAAGGTTGCAATAAAAAGAACAAAACTAATTGATATACTTACCTGCCCTAAAAGGATTCTAAAGGTTTCAATAAAAAAAGAAAACAAAAAAAGAAACAAAAGAAATTCTAATTTGTTTTCTTTACTTTATTGCAACCTTTAGAATCCCTTTAGGGCAGGTAAGTACATCAATTTGTTTTTTTTTTTTTTTTTGCAACCTTTAGAATCAGGTAAGTACCTATTAGCTTTAGAATCCCTTTAGAGCAGGTAAGTATGTCAAGTTGTTTTGGTTTTTGTATTGCAACCTTTAGAACCCATTTAGGGCAGATACCGTATTTTTCGCTCCATAAGACGCACCTAGGTTTTAGAGGAGAAAAACAAGAAAAAAAAATATTCTGAACCAATGGACTGCAGACATAGTACAGGAGATGATCAGAGACTGCGGACATAGTACAGGAGATGACCAGAGACTGCAGACATAGTACAGGAGATGACCAGAGACTGCGGACACAGTACAGGAGATGACCAGAGACTGCAGACATAGTAGAGGAGATGACCCGAGACTGCGGACACAGTACAGGAGATGACCAGTGACTGCAGACATAGTACAGGAGATGACCAGAGACTGCGGACACAGTACAGGAGATGACCAGAGACTGCAGACACAGTACAGGAGATGACCAGAGACTGCAGACATAGTACAGGGGATGACCAGAGACTGCAGACACAGTACAGGAGATGACCAGAGACTGCGGACACAGTACAGGAGATGACCAGAGACTGCGGACAGTACAGGGATGACCAGAGACTGCGGACAGTACAGGAGATGACCAGAGACTGCGGACACAGTACAGGAGATGACCAGAGACTGCGGACATAGTACAGGAGATGACCAGAGACTGCGGACACAGTACAGGAGATGAGACTGACCAGACCAGAGACTGCGGACAAAGTACAGGAGATGACCAGAGACTGCAGACACAGTACAGGAGATGACCAGAGACTGCGGACAAAGTACAGGAGATGACCAGAGACTGCGGACATAGTACAGGAGATGACCAGAGACTGCGGACACAGTACAGGAGATGACCAGAGACTGCGGACATAGTACAGGAGATGACCAGAGACTGCGGACACAGTACAGGAGATGACCAGAGACTGCAGACACAGTACAGGAGATGACGAGAGACTGCAGACATAGTACAGGAGATGACCAGAGACTGCAGACACAGTACAGGAGATGACCAGAGACTGCGGACACAGTACAGGAGATGACCAGAGACTGCGGACAGTACAGGGATGACCAGAGACTGCGGACAGTACAGGAGATGACCAGAGACTGCGGACAGTACAGGAGATGACCAGAGACTGCGGACACAGTACAGGAGATGACCAGAGACTGCGGACACAGTACAGGAGATGACCAGAGACTGCGGACACAGTACAGGAGATGACCAGAGACTGCGGACACAGTACAGGAGATGACCAGAGACTGCGGACATAGTACAGGAGATGACCAGAGACTGCGGACACAGTACAGGAGATGACCAGAGACTGCGGACATAGTACAGGAGATGACCAGAGACTGCGGACACAGTACAGGAGATGACCAGAGACTGCGGACAAAGTACAGGAGATGACCAGAGACTGCGGACAAAGTACAGGAGATGACCAGAGACTGCGGACATAGTACAGGAGATGACCAGAGACTGCGGACACAGTACAGGAGATGACCAGAGACTGCAGACACAGTACAGGAGATGACGAGAGACTGCGGACTGCAGACATAGTACAGGGGAGATGACCAGAGACTGCAGACACAGTACAGGAGATGACCAGAGACTGCGGACACAGTACAGGAGATGACCAGAGACTGCGGACACAGTACAGGAGATGACCAGAGACTGCGGACAGTACAGGAGATGACCAGAGACTGCGGACAGTACAGGAGATGACCAGAGACTGCGGACATAGTACAGGAGATGACCAGAGACTGCGGACACAGTACAGGAGATGACCAGAGACTGCGGACACAGTACAGGAGATGACCAGAGACTGCGGACACAGTACAGAGATGACCATGACCAGTACAGACTGCAGGACTGCGGACAGTACAGGAGATGACCAGAGTCTGCGGACAGTACAGGGGATGACCAGAGACTGCGGACATAGTACAGGGAATGACCAGAGACTGCGGACATAGTACAGGAGATGACCAGAGACTGCGGACATAGTACAGGAGATGACCAGAGACTGCGGACATAGTACAGGGAATGACCAGAGACTGCGGACACAGTACAGATGACCAGAGACTGCAGACACAGTACAGGAGATGACCAGAGACTGCGGACACAGTACAGGAGATGACCAGAGACTGCGGACAGTACAGGGATGACCAGAGACTGCGGACAGTACAGGAGATGACCAGAGACTGCGGACAGTACAGGAGATGACCAGAGACTGCAGACATAGTACAGGAGATGACCAGAGACTGCGGACACAGTACAGGAGATGACCAGAGACTGCGGACATAGTACAGGGAATGACCAGTGACTGTGGACACAGTACAGATGACCAGAGACTGCGGACATAGTACAGGGAATGACCAGAGACTGCGGACACAGTACAGGGAATGACCAGAGACTGCGGACATAGTACAGGGAATGACCAGAGACTGCGGACATAGTACAGGAAATGACCAGTGACTGTGGACACAGTACAGGAGATGACCAGAGACTGCGGACATAGTACAAATGACCAGAGACTGCAGACAGTACAGGGGATGACCTGAGAGTGCAGACAGTAAAGAAGATTACCAGAGACTACGGAGCTTTGGGGAGGGAGGGGGAATGGGTACCTGAATTTGACAGGTACCCGCTCCCACTTCCGCGGAGTTGTCCTTCCTTCTTCTTCCCGCGGCGGCTTCTGTGACAGCCGGGTGCCCACTGCGCATGCGCAGTGGGCATCCGGCTATCACAGAAGCCACCACGGGAAGACTGCAGGAGCGAGGAACAGGTAAGGGCCTGCAGGAGAGAAGAGCTGTGTGGCCGGCCCGATATCCTGACATGGTGGCGGAAGAAATACCAGACCGGCCGCTTTACATTCGCTCCATAAGACGCACTGACATTTCCCCCCCTTTTTTTGGGGGAAAAAAGTGCGTCTTATGGAGCGAAAAATACGGTAAGTATATCTATTTGGGTTTTTTTTTATTGCAACCTTTCGAATCCCTTTAGGGCAGGTAAGTATATCAATTTGTTTTTTTTTTTATTGCAACCTTTAGAATCCCTTTAGAGCAGGTAAGTATATCAATTTGTTTTTTGTTTTTTAATTGCAACCTTTAGAATCCCTTCAGGGCAGGTAAGTATATCAATTTGTTTTGTTTTTTAATTGCAACCTTTAGAATCCCTTTAGGGCAGGTAAGTATATCAATTTGTTTTGTTTTTTTAATTGAAACCCTTGGAATCCTTTTATGGCAGTAAGTAGTATCAAGTTGTTGTTTTTTTATTGCAACTGTTAGAATCCCTTTAGGGCAGGTAAGTATATCAATTTGTTTTGTTTTTTATTGCAGCCTTTAGAATCCCTTTAGGGCAGGTAAGTATATCAATTTGTTTGTTTTATTACAACTTTTAGAATCCCTTTAAGTGTGACACATTTTCATTGTGATGCACATGGCTGAGACAAATTCTGCCATATTGTTAATAAGGAAAATGGTGCCAAATAAGACCTATTTCATTTTGGAGTAAGTAGGTGTTGGTGGAGGAAGTGGCTGGAAATGGAAGTGGGTTTATTTAATGGCGGCACAGATTTTTTTTTTCCAGTACCTCTATTGCAGCCGACTTAATATTATTATTATACAGGATTTATATGGCGCCAACAGTTTGCTCAGCACTTTACAATATAACGGGAGACAATACAGCAACAATACAAGAGGGATAGGAGGGCCCTGCTCCTTGGAGTTCACCGGAAAGCCTGTCAGTAGACCATACCCACCAGGCGGCACTGCCGGATCACACAGCCCTGAGAATGCATGCCATTACCTATGCACTCCATTCTAATGGTGGGCATATATTACAAGAACATGTAGCAAGATGTTGTTGTTAAAATTAAAATAAAGATTTTATACAATGCATCCAAAATACTAACTTGATAACTCCCATGTAGTGCTCACCGTTGACTAAAGTGCATTTAGAGAATTTGATGTCACATTGCCGCCGTATAAAAGTACAAATTATTATTATTATTATTATTATACAGGATTTATATAGCACCGACAGTTTGCTCAGCGCTTTACATTATGGAGGGAGACAGTACAGTAACAATACAGTTCAATACAAGAGGGATTGGAGGGCCCTGCTCCTTGGAGCTTACAATCTAGGAGGGAGGGGATAGTGGTACAAGAGGAAATTAGCTGTGGGGGATGGAGTGGTAGGAAGAGTAGGGGATTCCAGTGTTAGCTGGGGTCGGGGTAGGCTTCCTTGAAGAGATGGGTTTTCAGAAAAGAGAGCAGAGTAGGTGATAGCCTGATAGATTGGGGTAGGGAGTTCCAGAGGATGGGTGAAGCCCTTGAGAAATCCAAATCGATAGCTTTGACCCCACAATTAAACAGAAGTCAGAACACACTTTGACATTAACCATTTCAAACCCTCCACTGTCACCCTATACTTATATATACTATAAAGATAGGGGTGTCTGTACTCTGGGAGCGCCACAGCTCTTCCTCCAGCACATGTAAAAGCTACCCGAAAACAATGTTCCTCAAATAAAATTTGGCATTTATTCTGTAATTCTGTATCCTGCGGTGAAAGGGGATACACCAGCAGTGTGAAAAAGACCTTCATGTTGCATGTTATAGGTCTGTGCATGCTTCAGGTTTGTTGCAGGTGGCAAATAGCGCCAAATATTGACACAATGTCATATCTCACATGGAAGAAAAATATATTTTAAATATATTTTAAAATTATTCTTCCCAAATATATTGACATATATTTGAAATACTACAATTTTGGCCATATTCAATATACTTCAAAATATATTTATATATATATATATATATACACACACACACATATATATATATATCCTGTATGTTGAAATGCATTTTTATTACAAAATACATGAAAAATGTTTTTTAAAAATACATTTTCAAATATACTGTATGTCTTTAAAAATACATTTCATCAACATTTTTTTTGGACTGCATTTACAAAAATGTAAAAATATATCTTAAAATTTATTTTTTATGTTAAAAAAAATCTGAAAAATATATTTAAAATATATATATTTAAAAAAATATTTTTCATATATTTTGTAATATATAAAAAACACATGCTGTGTATATACCGGTATATGTATATATCTCCTCCTCCATCTTGCTGTTTGCAGGATGGGCTGAATGTCACAATAATGCACCCCCAAGCAGCTACTTTAGTCCATTCAAACTGAATCCTCTTCCCGCTTTGGATAAGAGCTCAGAAGTGGCCACTTTGGGCCTTTCAAACTGCGAGCATACGCTGTACATCCCTCCTCCATCTGTTGATCCTGCCAGTAGATCCCTTATATATATATATATATATTGAAATATATTGAATACAGCCAAAATTGTAGTTTTTCTAATATATGTCAATATATTTGGAAAGAATATTTTTAAAATATATTTAAAATATATTTTTCTTCCATGTGGGATATACTCCAGTAATAGGTACAGTATTTTGTCGTACACTGCACCATTTATCACATGGATGAGAAACAAATTTCTATGACACTGTTTATGAATTCCAGGGCATATATCTGCCTTGTAGTTCAATGGCTAAAAATACCATTGCTTTAAAGTGTAAGTTTTGAATTTCCCCTTATGAAGATCTATGTCCAATAAACAGTACATACCTGAGCTCCTCCTGTTATAATTGGTGAATATTCTCCTGTTACAGATGTTGCTGTTGGGGGGGCCTCTCCTGAGAAACTACTGGACCGTTATCCCTCCTCCATCCTGCTGTTTTTGCAGGATGGGCTGAATGTCACAATAATGCACCCCCTAGTAGCCACTCCAGTCCATTAAAACTGAATCCTCTTCCCGCTTTGACTAAGCTCAGAAGTGGCCGCTTTGGGCCATTCAAACTGCGAGCATACGCAGTACATCCCTCCCCAT